AAAAAAAAGAATTAGATCAAGTTGGGAGCACTCCAACTATGACTTTGATTTTGATAACTCACAAAAAAAATAAAATAAAATAACAAAAGCGAGATACAGTGGATGTATCCTTTTGGTACCAATTGAGAAACAGATGGGATCAAATTGCACGTGCAATAATTGAGCCCAAACCAAATCAATAGCGTCGGAAAATTTGCTCACTCTGATAGTGTGATATTTTTTTTTTTTATTTTATTATTTATATTATTGAATTTTATTTACTTATTTATTTATGTTTTAATTAATACAGGATTGTTAAGGAGGAAAGCAAGAGTTGTCCAATTTGCAGAGGAACTATCTACAAAGTGAGGAAATTGTGTATTTTGTGAGGGAAATGTTTCGCTTTCTTTCTGTAGTGAAATAATGACATTCCATTCCATGATAATTGGTCCTCGTGATACATTTGAACAGTGCTGTTAAATTAAACGAGCATGGTTCGGCTCGAGTTCGAGACCTTATCGAGCTCGTTTTCGTATGGCTAACGAGCCGACCTCGGCTCGGCTCGATAAGGCTCGAAAATAAAATTTTATATAATTTTTTATAGTTCGGCTCGTCAAAACTCGAGATCGACTCGTTAAGGCTCGAACTCGAGGCCTTAACGAGTCGAGCTCGAGCTCGATTTTAGGCTCGTTTATTTAACGAGTTCGGGTCGAGCTTGAGCACCCTAAGATCGAGCTCTGTTGGGCTCGTTTACAACTCTACTTTTCAACAAAAAAAAATGTTTTGGACTATAGACAGAATCATGTGACATGGGACTAAATGCTTCAACAATAAAAGAAAAAGACAAGGCTTATGTGGGCCGTAAAATATTTTAAATTATGTGGGCACGGTCTTTGTCCTTTGGGCCTAACGCTATTTCATCTCCGTTGTTTCCTTCGATTCTAGGTTCTACCGTCTTCGTGTCCTTCAAATTTATGTTGAAACTATTTCGATAATTGCTACGTACGTAGTAGTGAGGTGTCGATTGATTTTTTATTAGATGAATTATTTTGAAGATTCATTAAGAACATGAACTTGAATCTTATTTCAGTAAAACCGAGAATGAAAAAGTGTTTGTTCCCAAATCCTAAAATCCTAGTTACACATAGACATGGCCACGGGTCAACCGGCCCGCCGACCCGGCCCGGACCCGGCCCGGACCCAGCCCGGTCAAACCCGTTGACCA